TGCAGATGGCGCCCATGACCTCGCCGGTAAGGGTGCTCTTGCCCATGTCCCACTTGACATCTCCGAAAGTGTGCATGGCACCTTGTCCGTCGACGACTTTGAAAATGACCGTTCCTCCGACGATCTCGGGCCCGCAAAAGACCCTGGCGCCCTGTTGCTTCGTGATGGGAACTTGGTTCGAAGTACTGCCCACTCTAGGCTTGCCGACGTCCTTATTCCAGACACCGACGGACAGGGCGTTCATGTCCTGTTTCTTCGGCTTCCAGGTGACAGTATAGGGAGGGCTGCTGTTGCTCCACCCGTCTTCGAACAATGAGTCAAGAAACTCCGTGAAGTCGTCTGCCGTATAGGCCTTGTATTGCTTGCGGACGCGGCGCGGGGCAACGTTTTTCAGTTCCTTCCAGATTGACTTAATTTTGGCCAACTGGCCATCGTTCAGGTCGTCGACGCAATCGATGCGGACTGGCATTTTGATTTCTGCTCTATATTTGATATTAGTTTTCTCTTTTCTGTACTTGAGCAGTGGAGTCTGGAGAACTCACTCGCTATATTGTATGATAGAAAAAGTATAGGATAGAAAAAGTATGGGATAGATGAAATATAGGATAAAACAAGTATAGGATGGAAAAGTATAAGATATAAAAGTATGGGATGAGAACAATATAGGATAAAAGAAATATGTGACAAGAAAAAGTATAGGATAGAAGAAGTATAAGATGGTAGAAGTATAGGATGAAAGAAGTATGAGGAAGAAAGGTGATATTCACAAGCTCTCCACCCCCGTCCTCGATGGCCGTTCTACCCGGGCAAGCGGGTGCAAACTTGAGTGAGAATAAGTACAATATGTGCTTATATATTACCACAGCATATCATCCGATCTTCACGGTGTTTAGATGAAATTTGTTAAATATATGCATTATTATTGATATGATCAACGATGCTCCGGATTATCACATGAGGTCTATTATTCAGACAGAGTTATACACCATCGTTGAAATCATAGTGGTTTGACCACCTCTGCAAAGGTATTAGTATTTCACTTTGACTGCATAATGGCTTGGAGTGGACTCACGGTATCCCAAGGTCTGGCAGAGTTGACAAAACGCAAATCAGTCCCTAACCTGATCTTCCCACCCTTGTCAAAATTCATCGTAGACGCGTGAATCTAGAGAATGTTAGCAGTCTGCCAATATTACTAACCTAGCGAAGTTCCAACTTACCATGTGAGGTGTATGCAAGACTACATCGCCCGCCTCGTATGCCGTCACCAGCCACTTCCTGTTGTATTTTCTTCCAAAGTCGCCAGGTCCGTCGCATAGGAAGCCGGTGGTCATCATGTTGGCATTAAAAGCGTTCCTCATCTCCTCATCCGACATGCCAGCGGCTTTAGCCTTGGCGTTGAAGTCGTTCTCGATCTCCTCGCCGAGCTGCTCGCCTCCTTCGAGGTAAATGAGACCGCCGCCGTCGAGCGAGACGTCGCCCATGGGCACCCAGGCCGTCACCGACGTCGGCTCGCCGTAGCGCATAAACGACTGGTCATAGTGCACGCCGATGGCCTTGTTCCCCGGCGTGTTGTTCCGCAGCAGCGTCCGCTTGACCGCCAGCGTGTCCTCGCCCCAGCCGCTGAAGCGCGACACAAAGTCCCGCAGCGCCGGGTGGTTGCAGAAGCCGCGCGTGGCGCCGTCCTTGGACCCGCAGTACCAGTCGGCCGTGTGCTGCTTGAGTGCCAGGTCGACGAACACCTCGGACTTGTCCGTCTCGCCGGGCCGCGCGTTCTTCACGCTGCCCGCCCCGATCCCCGGATAGTCGGCGGCCGAGGCCGATGAGTTGAAGATGCCGTCGACGGCGGCGGACCCGGGCTCCGTGACCCCGCTGGGCGCGAGAGAGTCAAAGTACGACGCCCGCGCCGACAGCACGTCATCGCGCGGGAGCAGGCCCTTAAGCAGCAGGTATCCGTTCTTCTTGTACCGCGCGCGCAGCGCCTCGATGGGCTCTGAGGGGTACGACGGCTCTAGTTTGCCCACCTCGCTCGACGCCAGCATGCCGTCGTTGACGTGTAGCTGGACGCCGTCGATGGTGATGGGCTGCGGGGGCGGGAGGATGTCGACGGTCATCTTGGGTTGGTCAAATGGTGGGTGCTCGAGAAGAAATAAAACAAATCGTAGTAAACAGAAACAAAAAGGGCATGCGGGTATAGCGAGAAGAAGTGTGAGATGAATAATGTTGAGTTACGAGAACAGGATCCAAAAGCTATCTTAACATTATTATATACTCGATCGTGAATCTCGGGCAAACCGGCAGCCCTTGAACACCTGTGCAATATCGCCGAGTTGCAAAGATCATATTAACCAGGGTCTACATGGCCAAACCTCCAATCCCGAAGGCTCGATTAGGCGGCTGACGATGATTTATCAATGACACGGCCCTCCGCCACCTTGCTCCACGATCCAGCAGACGCATCGTATGGGGATTTTGCGGGGTAGAATGGACTATAATGACTAACTATGCTCGTTTGAGCAGAATATCCCGCGGCGCAAAATCCCCGAGCAGGTCGCACAGGTGGACTATAACTTCTTACTACACTCAAACCGGCAAGACATTCCGCAAGAACACGCCAAGTGGAGTGGAAAGCCAAACTGTTTGCGGTAACTTTTCGGCGAATGTCTTTGATCGTGCTTGGCGGCGGCGCGACTGCAGATGTTGCATCACACAGCACAAAGAACTCCAGGGGAGATGGATATCGGTGCATCGTTTAATATGGATTTGATTTGCTAGTTGAATCTCCTTGTTGTTTGAGGTGACGTTGGACTCGAACCACATTCGCCGTCAATCGCTTAAACAGTCTTCAAATACGGGTTCTTTTGGCACATGGCCAGACTTGGCTGGCACACTGAGCCCGATACCTAGCACACTTGGAATACTACCATAGTACTGGCATACATTCTTGACCTGACTCGCCACTGCGGCTGTGGATAAGCAGTATACACTCTATCGCAGTCGCCAGTCGAATTTGAGCCATCTTATGGGAAAGGCACATGACCGCGTCAAGGTCGAAGGGCAAGGCCGTTGCACTCGAAGAATTTCTGCGTTGAGATATAAAGGGGCAACAGTCACACTGTCTCTCACTTTTCAAATGGTGTGTTTTTCTCTCAACGCTGAAATCGCTCAAACGTCTGTCGGCACGACAGGTCTGTGGCCACAACTCTCTCTCATTGAAAACATTGATCTCAAATCTCTTCTCACTACATCTCCAGTCTAGACGTTATACCCTGCGAACAAATTCCCTGCGAACAAAGCTCACCCGCCAGTTCGTTTCGTCACTCAATTCTTTGTTTCAGGAGCCGCAACGGATTTTCTGCTGTTGCGACCACATGTGTGACCCGGGTCCATGCCCGAATGTGCTTTTTTGAGCGTTGTCTGAAATGTGAAAATGCCTGCTTCAAGGGCTTCTTCGGTATTGTCAAGAACGACCTGGTATGCTCACTAGTTGAGTCAAGGCGCACAATATGCCGTGTAGCAGGTCCTGTAAGAAATCCAAGCTGCAGAGGCTGCAGGATTGTTGGATGAATCTGCTGGCAGGAATAGTGTTCAACTGATCCTGATATCGTTCTTGTTTACCCGGGAAAGCCACCTTGGGGATACACCTAGCGGGGTCGAGTAAAGTTGTTTTCGATGCCAGGTATTTCGATTTAGACCGCAAAGCATTCACCTCTTTTAATGAAGAGCACTGAGCAATTTCTCTCCAAAACAATGGCGCCTTCACATGAGGTGCAAATTTTCGTCTTTTTGGGATTATAAGGAATGCTGAGTTGTGTTAGCCAAAGTCAAGGGCTAAAAGTTTTCGACATGACTACAACTTTGGACGGGAGGTTTAGAATACACTTTGTTTATATGGCCTGAGAAAATGAACTTGATAGAGAGAACTTGGAAATAAGAGGCTGGGAAACAAAGAACTTGAAAACCCAGGAGCTAAGAAGAGGAGTTGGAAGTTGGATTGGAGAAATTGAATTCGAGGAATTGGACTTGAGGGGGGAAGCCCAAAGGCTTCAGATCATTCTCCAGAGCATTCTCCAGAGCATGCTTCAGATCATTCTCCATAGGGCATTCTCCAAAGAGTATTCTCTAGAGTGCATTCTCCGAATCGCAATCTCCAGAGAGCATTCTCCAGGGAACCGATCCAGCACTTGATACCACACTTTATTCAGCACTCTATGCAGCACTCTATCCGGCATTCATCGACTGGCTATCAGTATCAGGATAGGACCCATTCATTTATCCAGCAGCAGAATGTGCAGCAATATATTAAGCAAATACAGCAACCTAGAACCCTTGAAATTGCATGCAATTATCGGCTTTCCATCAAACATAGCAAGCCCAAAGAGACTTGCTGCTGGATATTCTGCTGAATCTGTGGCCAGATCTGTGTTTTTTTTTTTCTTGGTAGCAAGTAGACATGCTTTGGCAGTATGCGCAGCATCCTAGCTAGTGGCACATGCTGCGCTGGAGCTGCGCTGTAGAGTGCTAACATGGACCTACCTAAAAAGGCCACAAAAGGGGGTGCTCGGGCTCGCCATAGTATGTACGAGTCAGCGCGCTAAAGAATAAGAAAGCGGGAGAAAAATTGTTCTGTTTCCTCATCTCCCTGACCTTTTCTTGTCTTTTCATTTTCTCTCGCTATCGCAATACGACCATCGCATTGCTGGCTATTATCTACTACGGAATACTCAGAATCAATTGCTTTTCCCAAAAGCCTTTGAAGATGCAATTTTCTCTCGAGCGCCGCGAGAATCGGGTGGCACCCATTCTTTGAAAAAAAAAAAAAAAAAAAAAAAAAAAAAAGCCAGAAAGCGATAGAATATGCTTGAGACTCTGTACGTACTGGAGACCCCAGTGCGGTCTCAAGGTGGCTCAGGAAGAGATAATGTGGAGAAAATTGATGGCTGGATTGTACATGTCCTAATCCCAAATAACGGCGGTTGGAGATAAGCCGAAAAAAGGTGATCCCCGTGGTGTAGTGGTTAGCACTATGTTCTTATAATCCTTCGATTGATAGGAGATATGCATGGGTCGCCAGTTCGATCCTGGCCGGGGATATTTTTTGGGCTTTGCAACTCTTAATTGTTGGCTTTCCTTGTTTTATTTTTTTATTTCCCGTCGTTCATTTTCTTATATTTCTTTGTGATAGCCGTGCGTATACTCCGTACAGTCCTTCCTGGTGCGTGGGTCCTAGCTCATGTTGAGATATTGGGCTGAAGCGCTGCAGATAGCTGTTCATATTTCTTTGTATCCTTTTTTTGTCTTGCTTTGTGTTCATTCTTATCTCTTCTTCATATTTCACTTTTCCTGTAACCCTCTGGCACGCTCTTCGACAACGCCTGGGCGTGCAGCGCTGTGTTTTGGTATGCAGCGCTCTTCGCCTGGTGTTCTGACACAGCGCTTTGGTGTATGGTGCTTTGGGGGCTCGCTATAACCTCCAGTTTGTGGCCCTTATCATAATGGAGTCAGACTTGCTTTATTTATTGATAATTTGTAAATCGCATGGGATTCCGAAGGACTCCGAAGGATCCTGGATACCTAAATCACTGCATAGATGACTGCTGGATAGATAACTAAAAGGTAGTCAGAGGAGTGAAATGCTTAATCGGGACAAGGCATGAGGTTGTAAAAGATATTGCAACGCATGTAACGCAAGACATTTCTTATAACGATATTATCTAACACTGTTTATGATTTACAACGCCTTCGTTTCCATCGCTGTGGTACTCAATTGCGATAATTGCACCTATTGATCCACAAGTTCAACCCTTCTTAATAACGCCACTCTGCCAGTCGTGTCTTTTAGTCGCAGTCTCTTCTCATCCATCACTGGCCGGCGACCAGACTCAAGTAGATGTTCCAGCCAACACCGGCCAAGCTACCAAGCAGATTCCGACCGGTGATGCTTTTGACAAAGGCAAAGTTGATGAAGCTGATAAGGGGCCAGAGCTTGAGGCCGGCAAAGATCATGGGCCAGAACTCGGCGGCGACCTTGGCCTGGACGACGCTCCAGTCGACGGGGCTGGTCTTGACGCCACCCGAGGCCAGCGCGAGCAGGTAGTCGGCGCTGCGGTCGGGGGTGCTGAGCGGGGCGCCGAGCGGGCGCGGCATGGCCTGCTGCACGCCGTGGATGAAGAGGCCGAAGACGACCGTGTTGAAGGCCGCGCCCACCGTCTGGTCCAGCGCCATCTTGACCGCCGTGTTGCCCAGGTTCAGCTTGGGCTCCACCAGCTTGCCCTCGGCCTCCTCCTTCTCCAGCTCCTTGTCGTCGCCCTTGGACGCCGACGCCACGGCCTCGGCAGTCGGCGCCGCGTGGTAGGCCGGCCAGGTCGACTCCAGGAATTCTTGCCTGGGGGAATAGTCAGTCACATCTGGATGATATATTCGAGAAAGACGTCAATTTGCCCGAGAGCCAAGGACAGGCGTTTGATGCTTGCATCATCGAAACAAGCAACCGAGCGAAGGGAATAACTATATGACATACCATAGCACGTTTGGATGCGTGTTCAAGTAGTTGAAGACGAGAAATTGAAAGATTGGGACCCAATCAATGATGAGCGGTGTCTAAAAGCATGTCAGCGATATGATACTTCGATATAGTTGCATTGTCTGTTCAATTTCTCGATGCATCTTGGGCCCCTAGAGCATGATCTGGAGTGTGATCTGCAGATTCCTCTGCAGAATGTTCTGAAAATCAATCTGCAACTTGATCTGGAGGATGCTCTGAAGGACGCTCTGAAGGACGCTCTGGAGAATTATCTGGAGGGTACTCTGGAGGACGCTCTGGAGAACGCTCTAGAGAACGCTATAAAGAATAGCCCAGAGAATAATCTGGAGTTTGATCTGGAGCTCGTGCATACTGAGCCGGGCGCATCTGGAGCTCGAGCTCTGCAAACAGTCCAACTTACCTCATAGCGAAACGCAGTGATGACCTGAGCCAACAGATTCGAGGTTGCGGCCAAGACGGCCGACTGTATGGACGCAACCTCGATGGGAGGAAGCTGAAAGACCATGATGACGATCTGAGACTTGTCCGCGGTATGTGCGTGGGTATGCGTAGCTCTTGGAGAAACAGCCTCTTCCTCTGAAAACCTTTGAAATGCTCAAGTCTTTTCGATACAATCAGTACAAGCCAGGCCGTGATGCTGTTATAGGTCTACCAAAAGAACAGATCTCGCCGCAAATGGCCAGTCAGCATTGATTGGGCTTGGGATCGAGGTGGTAATGCAGCAACAGCAAGGTTCCGATTACCCCCCAAGCTTGGGAAACGACGCCAAAGCTCCAGGCGCTGGGTGGCTACAAAGTACTTGGCTCGGACCCTTGTAACGAAGCCTAATGCCCCCAAACTTGTGGTTGGCTATCAGACTCCAGTGATGACGTGACCCATGGATTGGATTCTTTGATTCGCAATGCTCTTTTGTCCTCCATAGGCCACATTATTACTGTCATGTAGGTACAATGTTGGCGAGTGTGACCCATGGCAAACAGGGGCCCTTTACATCGATGCACAATCAATGGGAAACATGTGCAACCCGCAACGGCATCGCGTCAACCTCGACATCTTAGGAAGGTGTCTTGGCATCAAGGCCAGTCCCTCGGAATATGTATACGAATATGGATCCAAGAATATCATGCAGTATACCCATGGATTCGCAGGTAGATAATTTCATGATACATCTACTTTAGCGACCAGATTTCCGCTGACCCAAATCCATTGTTACCAGTAATTGTTTATGATTTCTCTTTGTTCTGATATTCGATTCTATGCGATCTTTGGCGCCAGCCAATACACCCCAGCATCAAGCACTCGATAACACATGGCCACACTCTTTGCAGCATTTTCTTTTTGACCCAACACCGATTCTATCCATATGCACCTGAAATGCCCCAAACTCCATGCTCGCACCATATATATTTACGGCCTTGTGAGAATCCACATGAGCAAGAACTGCACCAGATAGGAATATCCGAATAAGAATTGAGTGCGCTGGTTGCGCTTGGTTCGCGACTCGGTCTGCATGCGGGGGTCGCTAGAGTTCTCGGGGAGTAGGACGTATCTCAAAGATCGCATCTACAAAGCATTAGAAAGTTCAGGTCACCACTCGTGATGTCGAATGCAACTTACCAAGAAGAGAGAGTTGGCCATGAACGTGTAGAAGAACACTGACCACCCAATTAGGCCGCCCGTGCCGTTACCTCCATTGATGATCTGAGCAGTAGCCACTGTGACAATAACTCCGACAAACTTGTAGCCAGAGTAGGCCACGAGGTCAAGCAGCTGCGAACTTTCCGAGATGCTGAGGAAGTAGCACCCAAGCCTCAAGAAGAGGATCTCTAGCACGACGACCAACACTGCCACCATCGCTGTCGCTCCGAGAAGCTGTGGGTCGAATTCGCCGCGAAGACCGGCCAGGAGCGTCGAGAGGAGCACGTATGTGACGACAGCCATCACTAATACCAAGTTAGAGCCGGTCGGTTACCGATTCCATGTAAACCTACCAGGAATGTACATGTCTGGACTGTTGATGTCGTCTCTCGGGGGAAGATACCAGCCTTCTTGTCCGCTGGGGCCGATAGCCTGCTTGCGCGACCAAGGCTTGTGGCGCCAGGGGAAGAGGACCAGGAACAGCTTGTTCACCACGTACGAGTTGGATACGTTGAAGTAGTGCTTGACCGAAGATAAGCTGAACCAGCGATTGACCTGTCCATCTGTTAGCTGGGGACTCTTTCCATCCTCGTCTCAGTCCTAGATCTACCCACATTTTGCTCGAAATATTCTTGACCCTGCTTGAATGCATTCTGTCCCATGGACGCAGCTATTTGCGCAGTCGGGTCGTTCATGAAGTTGCCATACTGCCCAAAGGCATTGGCGCCAGTCGCTCCTTGGGGCCCAGGCTGGCCCTGCTGATAGGGATTTCCATATGCTCCCTGGGTCTGCGGTTGCGACGAGGTTGGCGGAGGAGGCGACCTCAGTTGTGGCACGGTCGAGACGTGCTGCGGTACGGGGTGATGGAGAGGCGGCGAGGGGCCGTAGTTCTGACGCTGCATCCTGAAGGCGGCTTCGTAGGAAGCAATGAACGGGCTGGGCGCAGGTCGTGGAGTTGGGAGTCGAGTATGTCGGGTTGACACCGAGTGCTATAGCGTTGGGTGGGCTCGATCGTTCTGTCGCAGAGGAAACCCTTACAAGGTGTGGAATGAAACTTGGTGATGTGGTTTGTTGGACTGGCGGCAGCGCAAGCTGTCCAATAGGGCTAGTGAATGTAAGAGCTTCAGAGCCGCGCTACGGAGTCAATCAAGCATGGCAGAGGACTGGAAAGCCTAATCGCGTGGCAGGCAGCTTCAAAAGGTCAGACACCTCATTAGCTGGCCAGTGGTCAGTGCCCCCCTGGAACAAGCAGCTAGGATCACAACCCACGTAACGTAATGCGCTGAAAAAGCGAGCCTAGAAGCTCCCCAGCGTCTCCATTTTGCCCCCCAGTTTCCAGCCAAGAGTCCAAGACCCCCCGAGTCGGAATGCGCAACAACGGCCATCCCGGATGTATAGCTATCGCAGGGTACGTACCTAGCTCCGATAACGTTCGTTGGAGGCTGCCAACGGAGAGGGCTCCTTTCTGACAGATCTACAGAGAGAAGAGCCATTCCTCCTGAGCTGAGCTGAGAATAAAAAAAGAGAGCTGCTTCCTTATTGTGCATCTCTACTTGACACAGTTTTGGAGCTTGCCGCCTGCTATTCGACTCCTCCCGGCCACCTGCTGCTGGCTTTCCGGTCGCCATGTTGGACACTTTCGAGATTTTGACCACTTCCGGGGTCGTGCTCTGGTCGCGGTCCTATGCCACCGTCAACCCCTCCGTAATCAACAACTTCATTACCGACGTGTTTATCGAGGAGAAGGGCGCTGTCTCTGGGGCCAAGGACGATCAACCGACCGCCAGTAATCCTCCATACAAGTCAGATCAGCACACGTTGAAATGGACCTTGTCCAAGGAAATCGGCGTCATATTCGTCGTACGCAGTCCTCGTCGCATTCATGCTTTCAAGCGTATTTCTTACTGATCGA